TTCTCAGTAGTAATTCATTCCCTTTTACCAATTGCAGTGGTTGAAAAAAAAATTATGTCATTATTCTTTGCAGGGCTGGGGAAAAATGACTTATTCCATGAGAGTCGTTTGAAACATTACTTTCTGAGCTACCGCTCCTAGAAACATTGAAAAGTCCTAGATGAACTAAAGCTTTTCCTTTCTTTTCTTTCTTCCAATTGAGGAGAGAAGGCATCAAACTCAGGGAACAGAACATCCAAAGGTCTCCAGAGAGGCCGTAAAATGCCCTTTAAAAGTAACTCTGAAAATAACTAGAAAGCATTACATGGCATCAATAAAGTAACTTTGTTCTCCAACTTGTTCCTGTCTTTGAAGAGTTGCACATCCTCATTCCAAAAAATAACAACTCATCACCAGAGGTCCCCACGCTACTTGTAACTAGTTACTTCCTGATAGTGGAAAGGCCGGGTTTGATTACTCACAGATGTAGTTGCCGGCCGAAGCCCGGGAGTCAGTGGCTACAATGACACCATGCTGGAAGGTGAAAGCCAAGGTAGTCGTGCCGTGGGCCAGCTCAATGCGATGTCCGTCCCCACTGCCTTCACAATGGGTCTGCAAGAACTCAGAGGGCTACGAGAAGGGGATTGAAGCAGATTTATTAAAAATTCAGAGGTACCCACTCATCTGTCAATGTGGACGAGACAACGACAGCCAGCTTTCTCCAAAATTCATTCCCCCCCCTCATGAGCAAAATCTGCATCTTTGGCCTCTTCAGAAGCCAGGTGATCCATCTGCTCTTCCTGCCTGAGTCAACAGATGCCCGGCGTGTTGAAGTGGACAGAATGATGACCTAGGACACAGTAGGCCTGGGTTCGAATTCCAAGGTAAAGGTTCCCTTTGACATTTAGTCCATTCGGGTCCGACTCTAGGGCTCCTGCCCGTTTTCAAGCTATAGAGCCAGCATTTTGTCCATAGACCGTTTCCGTGGTCACGTGGCCAGTGTGACTAGCCATGGAATGCCATTACCTTCCCACCATGGTGGTACCTATTTATCTACTTATATTTACATGCTTTCAAACTGCTAGGTTGGCAGGAGCTGGGACAAGCGATGGGAGCTCACTCCGTCGCGTGGATTTGATCTTACGACGGCTGGTCTTCCAACCTTGCAGCACAGAGGCTTCTGTGGTTTAACCTGCAGCGCCACCACGTCCCTTGGGGACGTCAAATCCCAAGCCACTCCTTAAATACCTCACTTACCTGGAAACCCAACGAGGGTGACTGTAAGCCAGATGTGACTTGACAGCCCATGATATGTAACAAGCTGCACAGTTAACAACAGGGGCTGGACAGTCCCTCAGTGGTCATGGTTGAATCTTAAGGGAACCCTGGGGTGAAATCATTCAAATTCCCTTCACATTTAAAAAAAATCTCCTCAAATGACAAATCCTTGGCTTGTGCAGGACAGATCCAGAACAGTAAAAAGTGGGAGCAAACAATAACATGATAGGGTAGACAGCCTCTTAGCTCGACTTTAGTCTGATCAAGGCAATAATTATAATTATGAGCTGTCAAGTTAATTATCTCTTATGGCAACCCTTCTCTGAGTTTTCTAGGGGCAGAAATGATTTCCCATTTTTTTCTTCTGGGGGTGCCCGGGGATCACCGTGCAGTTAGCCTAAGGCCAGCCAGGCTGGCTCAAGGCCCAGGAGAAACAGTGGAAAATCGAACTCCTGACCTCTGGCTCCAGTGAGCTATTGAGCCAGGATCACAC